TGGCCTTTTCCCATGGTTTATAATTTGCCCTGGAAGCCAGTATCGATTTGTTATCAAAACCCACGATTTATCTCTTCCTTTTTGGCCTTGTGGTTATGAATGCTGTCTGCTGACCATGAAGTTGTGAGTTCAAATCCCAACAAATCTTCAAGTCAAACATTTTTCTTCATTTTTTCATTTTTTTGGTGATCACGCTGGTACAAGACAAAGAAGGTGGCTGCGCCAAACGACTTGTTGTTGGAGCTCGCGTTTCCTGCCGAACTGACTGACACTTGACTGGCTCACGCCATGTGAAGTTGTGAACACACACAACACTGAAACCGTGTGAGTGAACACGGAAGTCATTGCGCTGTAGCTACGTGTTGTTGAATACACCGGTACATCGATCGATCGATTTCTGTTTGAGAATTATTTTAGTATTTGAATTTAGGAGTCAACGCCGTCTTCCATCAGCTTTCACAGGCGTCTGCTTTTCTCAAAATGTCGTCGAAGTCACACGGATAGCTTTGCCACATCAAGGCCTTGGGAATGAGTCTGTGTCGATGCCGTTTTCGTCACATCGTGAGAGTAAATTGCATCCGCGGCAGCTCAAAGAATCTATTTGGTCACAAAACGAATTGTGACGCATCCCGCTCGTCAAAATTTACCACACTTTCGACATGTCCTCGACCAGCTCCTCTCTGACTCCATATCGATACAAGGAAGAACTCGTTTGTTGTAAACCAGACGAACATGTACGAGACGTCAGTGAGTTGTCATTTTTCATGCTTTCGCGCGGAATATTTCTTCGAGTTCACAGTGAGTTTTTCCAGGCAGCGCTCGAGCGCTCATACGGTAAGACGGCAAACTCCCCGGGCGATCGCCAGGATTGCTATCTTTTTGAAACTGACTATAGGTGTCAGGACGTCGAATGTTTCAGTACTCTGTCAGTTTTGTGCCTAGTTATTGCACTTTCTGACTGTATATAGTATCATGTTACAGTGATGGAGAGTTACTCTTTACTCGTATCCATATGTCCTTTTCTCTTCCACATTTATTTATGGCTCAACATCCGAGTTTCAAATTGCACACCTGATGAGCCGTCACGAACCATACGGCGAAACGTACGTCGTGTGAAACAACTTGTTTTGTAGTCAACTAGTCCATCACAATGTCATGCATGAGGAGTACTGTAGGAGTTTGGCTTTCGGCTTGTACAATTCGTTTTCGCAAAGCTTCCCTTTCTTTACTTATCTTTGATATTTATGACCCATCCAAGTTGGGTGGTGTGCTGCTTTGCTGCTTCGAATTGTAGTTAGACCGCTTTGTCAAATATCGTACTGGTCTCGTCATCGTCCAGTAACAATCGACATTCTTTGTTCCGTTGGGACTGTGGCTTTTGCTCGTTTTCGTTGCGCTTGCCTTCCCCTCTTTGGTCTTTTCCATAACCTTGAACCTTCCAAGTTGGAAGGCTGTCGGTTAGCGCTACGGAGATGTGTTGAAGCTAGGTGTCAGGACGTCGAATGTTTCAGTACTCTGTCAGTTTTGTGCCTAGTTATTGCACTTTCTGATTGTATATAGTATCATGTTACAGTGATGGAGAGTTACTCTTTACTCGTATCCATATGTCCTTTTCTCTTCCACAAGTAAAAGAAGAAGAAAAATGGAACAGAGAATCAGAAGTGGCATTCTGCTGCGGCCAGCACAGCGGGAATGTCAGCCAAAGCTCGGTTAGATTTCGGTTGAGCGGCGCGATGTCCACGGAGGCTAGCATTTGCTGAGCGGACAAGAGAGAAAGAGACCCTTGACCTGATCCAGGCCAGTACGGTGGAATAGGGCTCTTTTCTCTTGTCCGAAAGCATACAGGCAACTCTGTAGAGCGCAGTGGCCGCTTTCCCGAATCCTCCAGATGCACTCAAGACGACCGGCACAAATGACGCGTGCTCAATTTCACGGATTCGCTCCTCATACGAGCGCCTCTTCTCAGCTTCGTGTTTTCGGTAAGTAGCTGGAAGTGACTGCTGGCGGTTGGACCGTGCGCGATACTCAGTGCACTATATAGTGACCCGGCGCGTACCCACGTACCGTGGCAGACGTGACATACCGTGTATGGAGGCTCACCCACGTTCTGCCAAAACGTGGGTGAAAATCAGAATGGAGCGCATTGTGCGAGCTGTGAGGGTGCTCAGCTGAAGAAGTTTCCGACGCACGAAATCAAAATATTGGAGGAGCTTCTTAGGCCCGGGTAGCTTCGTCTTTGACCAGGTTTGGGCCTTTCGGTTCATGCTTTTGTTTGTTCCGTGTGACTAAACACAACATTGCAACGCGGGTACCGGGTGCCCTTCATCAGCTTTACGTGGATCACCCACGTAGATCTTAGAACTAAACCTCACTAGTACGGCACATGTTACGTGGACTTGCGGGGGTCGCCATGGCAAACAATAATAGAATAATGCATAAAGCGTATCTATGACTATGGTCCATGGATCATCTCATGCCATGACTCCATGAGGACAAGCAAGAATGCCCCCAGGCCAGGCCAGGCAGGGGTAATGAACAGAAAACAACGAAAATCAATCACAAACAGGTTACAGGAACCTGTCTCATATCAGGGCAAGTAAGTTTATGAGGTCAGATGACAGTCATTGACCGCTAGAGCCAAAGACTCCCCTACTGTTGCGTCACGAGCACGTTGATGGCCACAGATCGACCACGGTGGCCTCGGAGGCTGGCATTAGCTGAGCGCACCAGCGAGAAGGAGAGTTTGGATCGGATCCAGGCCATCGTTAACGGAGAAGGGCTCCTTCCGCTTGTCGGACTGGAGGACTCCAGGCCATTTCAGGAATGCCCGCGCAGCTTTTCCGCAGCCTCCGGTGGCACTGAAGACGAGGGGCCCCATACCTGATGTGTTTAGGAACACATCAAGCAAATACAGTACATCTCAGTACTAAAGTACAATTATTTTTACTTTTTTTAAAACTTCTGAACATTACACGGAATGATCCAAGAGGTTTCGCTCTACGGAATTACGTATGAAAATAACGTAGGAACTGCACGGAATTTTCATACGTAAAAAAACAGAACTGTTGGGTTTCGCTCTACGTGATTTCTCCACGACTGCTAAACATGCGTTGTTGCTTTGGAGACGCGTTGGCTTCATGCGCCCACCGGTGCACCGCATGCACCATGAACCGAAACCGCGTTTTCCATCTTATTTTGCACTTGGTGTACGGTACGTGTACCTTGTGTTTCGCGCGGCTTGAACGTTGCCATGGACAAATGCGGAAAATGCGAAAAAATATTTCAAAAAGTGATACGGAGGACCCAACGTACGTTGTAGGAAAGAGCTTTCCTACTACTGTATACGGAATTCCGTAGAGAGATTTACGTATGAAAGCTGCCCTCGCTCCCCGGCGCGTACGACATACGGATTTTCATACGTAATTACGTAGAGCGAAACCTCCCTTTAGGCCGTCATCGTGGTGTGCACGGGTACGGTGTTTGCAGTGCATGAACTCTGGCCAGTCGTCCCCGTACGCAAAATGCGTACGCATTTGTATTTACCGTACATTTCCTCGTGTTTTGGGCGAATCTGAGCGGTACGACGCTTACGAATTGGGCCTGAATTTGCCCTGAACCAGCCGCTATCGAAGTAAAATTAGGTGTTTTGAAGGCCACACGGGAACACTGCGGCCATGTCTTTATTCCTGCGTCGTTTGTTTGAAAATCGGCGTGTTTTTCAGCTCGTAGTTCGTCTTCGTTGTGGAATGGCCGTGCGTACATTCTCCTTGGAATTACCAAAGTCACACCCCCGTTTATTACATTACTAAGAGTTTTGCCGGCAGCCACGATAGTTTTTATCCCTGCTTCCATACGTCCTTTCATTGAACAACCAAACGAAACTTTGTGGCGCGCCTTAGTTTTTTGTGGCGCGGGGGTCTCAAGTTTGTCACTTCGAGTTGTACCGTGACAACAATCACATCAACACCTCAAAGGACCAAAAAACCAAGTGAGCAAGTATTTCAACCTTGCGATTCTGCCAGGCCTACTCTGAAGATGGAGACTTCTACTCGGTAGCACATACTCGTTTCAATAAGCTGGGAGGGAGAGCGTGGCGAGTAAAATGTTGGGATGAAAAGAGCCACATTCTCTCTCGGAAAAGGTCGTCGTTCCTGCACTGGCTACACACTTCAAACTTCAATTGCTCTACCCAGCTCTGCAGAAGGCTAGATTTTGCATGCACGTGCGAGATTCGCATCCGCCGCGCACATAGGCAGAGTCGAAATTTTTGTACTCTCGGATTTGCCGCCATCTTGACGAGTGGCCACTGCGAAACGCGAAGGACTAAAGGGACGCTGGTCTAGGAGTGCGGCAGTTTTTGCGCCATGGCAACGAGGAGTGCGCGCACGCGACTCCACAGCCACCAGCGCAAAGCGTTGTAGGCTGCGGAACGCCGGCAGGGAGAGCGAATGAGACACTTCGCCGTGACCCAGGTAGTAGTTCGTACAGTGCAGCACGAGTACTTGCAGTAGACTCTATTTTTTTCGCGCATCTTTTTCTGGAGAAAGCGAAAAACATAGGAAAGCGATGCTTGCTGAATGAACAAGACGATGGATTAGTTCCTGAAAGTCACTCTACTTGGATTGATAATGATTTTGTTGAGGAGCGGTTTGAATTCGTTACTTTTCACGACAGCCTGACGCCAGCCTGACTTCTGGCTTGCAGTAGAGCTCTCCTTCCGATCCTGTCAATGGTCTCAGATTTGAAAGAAAAATACTCGAACAGTGATATCAATACATCGCTTGTGGAAGGAATGGGCGAGTGCTGGCAATCACTCAGTCTTCGCAAGTAGAGAATGTCCCTGCTGATTACCAGCTGAGAGACAGCTATTCTGTGCTGTGAAACGAAGGGACGATTCTTGAAGTGGAAGAACAATCGTACATGTACTAGATGTGCTGATCTACTTGTATGCAATGTCACCCACAGTGTGTACAGACCTGTAGGCTAAAGCCGGTGTTACACTGGGGTTTTCTGGATCTTCAAAGCACCAGAAGTAGTATGTGTACTATTGAAAGCGCCCATTCCGTCTTGGAGGTGTGCATCACATTGACATTGTGCATGCGGTCTTTTACTAGTACATGTGTTTGGTCAGAGTCTCATCTCTGTGTGTGTCTGTCTCTCTGTTTGCTTGTGTGTCGGTGTGTGTGTGTGCGCGTGCGCGCGCATATGTGCTTATGTGTCTTCATGTGTGAGCAGTGTGTACTTTGAATGTGCCGTGCACAACTGTTTTGTGTGTGTATGAGCTTGCAATTGCCTTGCATGCGCTTTGAACATGTGTTCATGTACGTGCTCCGCAGGACTTGTGATTTTGCCTGACCTTTGAAACCAATTGGACTGCCTGCCCTGGCAAGGGACTCTTATTGCCTAGCTTCTTGTTATGGCGGCATCAACAGTAGCACGTAACGCCACCTGACCTGTCGTTGCTTCACAGCTGCTGCTTTCTCACTCCCGCTGTATCAGTTCGGCGTATTGCCCAGCTGCACCGTGTAGCCGTGTTGTGAAACAGCATACCGGTGCTCCCTGCTCAGTAGCTGTTGTCAGTACCAGGAACTTGGTGAGTGTAGCGGACACAGGTAGTGGCGAGTACACTGCGTCGCTGGTGACACACCGTCACTGGAAATGCCCCGCGTCACGCAGTGCAGCGCGTCACTATTCCGCTCCACCACGTGTCACAAACGCAGCGTTGCAAGGGCTGCTAGCGCAAGTGCAGCGTCTCCAGCATGCTAGCAGGAACAGCGCAGCAACAGTGGCGGAGCACTGAGCCCGGAGCAGAGGTCCCGATTGGCTTCCGCTTGTCATATGCTGTGCGCTGCGATCGGGTCGTTGCTCAGCACCATCCCTTACTTGCTGCAGCAATGTTCCCGCTACAATACTTACCCGGGTGTAGCCAGCAACGGACTGCGATCTAGTGTATCCATATTCTCCACGTGTACATTGGTGCTTGATGACATCATCAAGTCACTGCTTACCTCATCGAATACTAGGAGAGATTTCGCACAGGCTGTGTCAGCACTTGAAGAACATTCAGAGCTGCTCAGGGATCACGCGCAGCTTTTTAAAGTCATTTACGCTGTCGTGCAAGTGGACAAGACTGGCGACCTGATCGTTGATCATACTCAGTTTCCGGACGACTTTCTGGACACTGCTGAGAGTATGGAGCGGAGAAGCTTCTATGGACGGTGCCTCGGCCTTCATGTAAGTCACTGTGAGAAGTAAGGTGACATTTGTATGTGTGCTCCGCGACCGTAGAGTACAATAGCTGTCCGTGGTCTTTTAAATATTCCTACCCGATCCCCCTTTGGTGCGTCCATGGAGATATAAAGCCGAGACCTCTGGTCGGCTGAGCTTAATGGGCCCCACCACCACATGCACACTCCATTATTCGCCCCATTGTCTGGAGATAATGTGGATTTTGTAGAGAGAAAAAAGAAGAAAAAAACATCCGAGTTTCAAAACAAACAAACAAAAGTTTTAGCATGCCATGTGCGATTGACGTTGACGATTTGTTCTGTACCATGCTCAACACTCTCTTTTTGCTGCAGAGTGCCAGCTCTGAGCCTTCTAAGGCAGTCATCATTCACTTCCATGGTGGAGGGTTTCTGGCGCAAACGTCACAGTCACATGTGGTAGGTCATTGGAAACAAATGGGTGTGCTTTGCTGCCATGCTCCATCCATTTCTCCGCTGCCCTAGCCAATAAAAAGATACTGTGTCATGTGTGTAACACGGATGTGCACCAGGTTTTCATTTGGCCCCATATACAATAGTACAGTATTGCTCCATGACATCCAGTCGCGTCACTCAAGTACGTGCCGGGCGTTGCGCAGCCCTAGACCTGCGAACACTGGGCTGCGAAATGGTGCACGGCGCAAACTTGACTCACGCGACCGAATTTCATTGAGCAGCACTGTACATAATATTAGTATACCCTATGCATGTGTCTTCCTTGTGGTGTATTGTTCATGCAGAGCTATCTAAGCCACTGGGCCAACCAGCTCAACGTTCCCGTGGCGTCCGTTGACTACATGACGGCCCCCGAGCACCCGTACCCACGTGCCGTCAACGACTGTTTCTACGCGTACGCCTGGGTGCTGAGGAACGCCACCAGCCTGGGTACCACTGCCGAGAAAGTCATCCTGGCCGGCGACTCGGCTGGAGGTAACTTTGTCTTCGGAGTGGCATTCCTCGCTGCGCAGTACCAGCTTCGGAAGCCGTGTCTGGTTCTGGGCGCGTACCCTGCTCTGAAAATCTCACTGGATCTGTCACCGGCACGCTGCCTAAGCGTAATGGATCCGCTGTTACCCATTGGAACGCTGCGGGCATGTTTGAATGCGTACCGGGGGAGTGGCAGGTGAGATACCAGTTCTTCTTTTCCTTGGAAATTTCACTGTACAGTGCATTCCTGGGATTAGCACATTAGAATTGGCAAACGTGTTCATCTTTGGATAGTGACAGCTGATAAGAGGTGCATAGACTGTCACTCCAAGTAAAAATTCCTTCGGTGCAAATAGGATTGCCCATTTCACAATATATACCCTTACCTTGTAATGTGAACAGTCGGCGTGGAGACAGTAACTTTTAAAACTATAGCTAACGTGGTTGCGGTATTGGTGTGTGACAAGCGAGGTGGCATGAAATAAAAGTTAGGCTTCAACATTAAATACCCAGGGTCTAACACCCTTTTCTCCTTTCATCGGGTGTGGAGTGCTGTTTCGACGACCCTGCGTATCCTTTCCCAGACCTCATGTGTGAAGTACCTCACCTGTGAATCATTGAGGTGGATGTCCCCTACTGGCCCTAGAGGTACGCTCAGGGAGTACGTAAATACCGGTGTTTTTCTACTCCCTGATACGTTCTACTGAAGTTTCACTGTATGCGACGTAGTGACAATGATAGGCGTTACATTACTTTGTCCACGCCAACGTAGGCACCTTCTCTGGGAGGTTGCTCAGTTCACCCAATGTGAGAGCTGTTCGCACAATATGGGACGGAATTGGCTGTAGGCTGCAGTCTCCCTCTGCGTGCGTGTGTGTGTGTGTTTGTGTGTCCACGTGTACTACGGTGAAACTACACCAAGTCACGTTCTTAGCACATCGACAATCAACTTTCACACTTCATGTCTTGTGCTTATGCAATGTGAAAGAACCTACAGTGCTGCTCAATGAAATCCAGTCGAGTCACTCACGTACGTACTGGGTGTTGCACTAGACCTGCGAACATTGGGCTGCGAAATGGTGCAAGGTGCAAACTTGACTCACGCGACCGGAATTCATTGAGCAGCACTGTACTTTAAAGTGCTTTGCTGTGACTTTGTCACTTTCTGGTTAGCTGTGATTTTGTCACTTTCTGGGTAGCTGTGTATGCTGTGCACAACCGGATTTCATTGAGCAGCATTGTATGGTTTTGTCACTTTCTGGGTAGCTGTGTGCACATCACCTCAAGCTTTGATTTTCATCACCTCGAGCTTTGATTTTCATCACCTGGAATTGAAACAAAACTGCGTCGCTTCCTTTGTCTTGCTTTCTTTATCTGATGCAACGTTGGTGATGGATGAGGACAGAGAGCTCTGTGACTAGAGGCAGGTGTTTGGTGGACGTGGACCGTGTGACTTGCCTTTGCCCTTGCTATAGTCTCCTTAAAGTCATCGGAATCCACTCTCTCAGTCTCTCTGTGCTCGCACTGCTAGGCTATGCTGTGGATGCACTCCGCAACGCTGATTGCTCCGTGAGTACCAGTTCATGGTGTTCTTCTCTTGTCCTGTCCAGCACGCCAGAGTATAACCCGAACACCGGTCACCTGTCACAGCTGCAGTCGGGCATCCACCACTGTCATGCCACCATTCTGAATGCTTCGCCGGCTTACCTCTCTCCACTGCTGGCCAGTGATGAGATGCTGCACAGCTTACCATCGGTTGCATTGCTGGTAAGCCACTATAGCACACATGGCAGTACGGTATGAGCTATGCATTCACATACCAGTAGCTGAGGAGTGCTAATTCCGTACTTATAGTATTGACAAGCTAGCCTATTGATCAGGAACTGTCCGCAAATACACCCCTGTCCAAAACTCTTTCGAGAAGGAACCTTTCCGATGCCCCGGAAAACCCAAGCACTGCTATACCACACGTAGGTGTGTGAATTGTGACTAGATGCAATAGTCATGTACATGTAACTAAGTTAGGCAACCTTACAACATGTGCAATGTTGGAAGTGTGTTTCACCAAAAAGGAGACCAAGAGTAGAGAGTCTTCTGTGTAGTCTCTACATGTGACATGATGAGCATGTAAACAACCTAATTCTGAAGTACATGCACATGTACGTACTTCACAGGATCTTTTGGAGCCACAGAGTCAGAGGTCAGCAATGTTGTGACAGGCCCTGCCCTGTAGCTCTGGGTCTGGGTGTGATGTACAGTCAGACCTCGCTTATCCGGATTCCTCGCGACCCGGAAGAAAATAGCTGGCTACAGATTTACAGCATACGTGATGCATCCAATGTAACCGGTGTTCGGTTATCCAGTTCCCTCGCCTATCCGGATATTTTTGTGGAAAACGGATGTGTGCGGTTAAGCGAGGTCTGACTGTACTGTTAGCATTTTCAAGCCTTACTGATCAATGCAAGGAGCAGTCTGTGTGTAATGAGTAGCTATGTATGGAGCAGCTAGTCTGTGTGTAATGAGTAGCTGGCCATGTGAGTTCCATAGAAAATCGATTGTGCCTGAGACATGTTGCGTGTCTGGGAAGGGGTGTTAATAGAGAGGTTAAGCTTTACGTGACACGAAAGTTCAGCTCGCGTGTTGGAAAACAACGCGAGTGACCTGCAGCTCACGTCGAAATTTGAAGGTTTACGCCTAATTTGACGTGATATTGCGCATCACGTCAGAAATAACGTGCAGCTTAACCTCTCTCTAATAGTCAGTCATGTGAAGTGTGTACAGAGCACCTTGGTAAGCACATATAGATCATCTACATGTATGTGCTTGACCCTGCTAGGAATGGGAAGGTGGGTTACTAGCACCCCTTCCACAGAGAGTAGTGTGCAGTATGAGCTGATAGAACTTCCATGACAGCGACCTCCATTGGAGAAGGACCCCTGCTGTCTAGTGGAAGAGTTGCCTGAGGCTCAGCCGTACTTCTTATCGGTATCTTTGAGTACAAGAACATTTCAACATGCTACATTATTGTGCTCCTTTGTGGGTGTTCAAGTAAGAAAGCTATGTTTCTTTGCCGATAGATTTCTTCGTGCTATGGGTCATCTCTTACTCTGTGTGTGTGTGTGTGTGTGTGTGTGTGCCAGCTAGTTCAGTTGGTGGGTACACTTATGCCTGATTGTGTTGGGTATGTTGCCAACGGGCTCAGCTGCTTGAAGGTGTAATGTTGTACTTGCCACCTTTGTTGGTTCCAGGGTTCATATACTTTCTATTTGAAGTATACATACCTGTTAACCATGGACTGCTTCTGGCTAGATTAACTCTTGTGTAATCGATGGTGCTAGTGATGTCTAAATCAGATCCAGCCTGATTTAGCCACCCGCACTAGTAGCAAGTATTACCTCCACTGGGGGCAGGGGTAACTGCAGTTGGATCCCAGGACGGATACCCTGATGCCGTCAATCCTTTTTCTGCACCTTGTCCACACCCACTTACCGAGGTGTGGTGAGCCCATAAGTGGGATCGTTTTCAAGTCCACCCAGAGTTTTGGGGATTTCAGGGGGTGTCGGCCGTTGGGCGGTTCAATAACCAATTGAGTCATCTTTCCAAGATTCCTTTACAGTCTCTCTCCCCTCTCCCGGGGAGACCCACGTGACCACTTTTGGCAGTGAGCAACAAGTACAAGTACAGGTGTGTGTGTGTGTGCGTGTGTGTGCATGTCTCTCTCTCTCTCTCTCTCTCTCTCTCTCTCTCTCTCTCTCTCTCTCTCTCTCTCTCTCTCACACACACACTCTCTCTCACACACTCTCTCTCTCCCTCTCTCTCTCCATCCGTTCTGTTGTACCTTTCAGCCAAGTTCATTTAACCCCCTCTTGGATGATTCCATCGTCATGGCGCGTCGTCTGCACGCACTCGGCAAGGATGTGACACTACGCCCATTCGACGGAATATCCCATGGCTTCCTCAACTTCCACGCAGTCAGCCGCTTGGCGCAGCAAGCCACCAACGTGTGCATTGAGTTGATGGACGCAGCAATCAAGCAACACGACCAAGATGTTTAGTCGTGATACAAGTAGTGCCTATTGCAGTACGAGATGTCACCACTCATGCGTTCTCAGTGCAGCACCGGACATTTGCCCATTGGCACTCATTTTACGAGTATTGAACTATTTTTTTTAAATACTTAAGTAAGGTCCATAATTAGTTTTATTCCCGTAGCTATGCAGAAGACGTTACTGAAGACGTTACTTCAGTAACGTATGGCGCTAGCCAGGGTCCACACAGCTTTAATTTGGTGTTTGTGTCACGCCTGGCGCTATCCCGTATCTGTCCCGAACCGTACCATCAAACACAGCTGGCCGCAATATTCGAATAGGGCTTTCAAACGCAAGATCATAACGTGAAGCAACTTGGAAGAATGAGTATGAATGCGGAGTGTATGGGGGAATGCATGCAGGGCGACAGTGCGGGTTCGAATCCCAGGTAATGCCCGAAAAAAATAGGAGAACAATTTATAACATCTCTTTTCTTTTTTTTTGCCGTCATCAAGGCGGTAGACGGTGTCGTATTACCCTCGACCGTACCTATCCTGACCGTACCGTACAATCAAAAACGGCTGGCCACAATGCATATTCAAATAGGGCTTTCAAATACAAGATCATAACGTGAAGCAACTTGGAAGAATTAGTATGTATGCGAAGTGTATGGGGGGATGCATGCAGGGCGATAGTGCGGGTTCGAATCCCAGGTTTAATATGTCTAAAAACAAAAAAAGTAGAAACTTATAAGAATTTATAACATCCCTATGCTTTTTTTGTCTAGGTCATCAAGGCAAAAAAGCATAGCGTAGGGCCCTGAGCTTCCAAGCTCTCTCGTTACCAAGCATCAAGTTGAAGTGGTTTGGACATGTTGCAAGGCATCAGGATAGCTACTCCCACTATTTCTTGGATGGAATAGTGCCTGGTTCTTGGCTGCATGTAGTCTAGCCTATTTTGCACTAGCGTGACCCATGCTACCGGCATACCGACAGCTCCTAAACAAAAAATAATGCGGTGCCCACGTTATTGTTGATATAAATATGACTGTGGCTAGTAGGGTAGTGATCAACACAGTAAAGAAATATACACCAGTTCTATGTGCGATAGTGCAGATCTGATACTTGCTGGATATAACATTGGAGGTTAGCGTCAATATGCACTTGGAACACTAGGGACAGGCCAGCCGTCTAGATGACTACATTATCATACTCCCATCAGAGGGTGTACATGATTTAAACATACACACATAAAACGAGGCACTCAACTGTGAATGTACAAAGAGCCATGCGAACACGTAGTCTATGTCTTTTTCTTAGCCTTGGCGCGGGGCACCTTCGTGTCCGCGGATGCCCATGCCTTGAGGGCACACAGCTTCTTGCCCAGGTCAGTCAAGTCGACACCAGCTAGTTCAACCTACAAGTACACCGTGTAAACACAGAGATAACACTGTGTTACATGTGTGTATCAAGACTCGCTGACTGAAGACTCACGAATCATGCATGCTCATATCACACGTGCGCATGCGAGACAGGAGACAGTTTGGGGAATGTCATCACACAGGAAAACAATACTAGCACATCGTTACACCACTGGCACTATGATAGGCATGTGACGTCACCCGGATGATGTGGATACATGAATGCAAGGGAATCCGGGATGTGAATACAAGAACACAGACAACAGCACAATAAGCACACAGCTACAGGAAACAACGCGAGGGGCAGTACCCAGAGCACACACAGGGAAGCAAACAATCACATGATCCGCTAGGCAGCAGCAGGACAACAAAACAGCCTAAGGACTACGAGATCTCATATACTTAGCAGCAGGACAGACACATCCATTACTGGTCACATCAGCCGGCGGAGCACCCGCAACATACCTTGTCCTTGATAAGCTGTCCACGATTCTTAGCTCGTTCTGAGTGGAGGTTGATGGATGGGAACATCTTTACAAATTGAACATACCTGCAGAGGACATTGTAGGTCCACAAGAACTTGTCATAACACGAACCCACACATAGCCTAGAGGGATGATCCTTTCCCACCAACGACTACTATTCAAGACTTCAAGTACCATAGTACAATACATGTCAGTAGCCTATAGCGATAAGCAGCCCATAATTAAGTTCTCCGTATTCCAGGAGGGTCTAGATGCTGCTAGATATCCGGAGAGCATCATCTACTCATGTACCGTAGAGCAGAGCTTTATCATAGATATCAGTCTGGTTGGTGAGAACTGAGTAGGCGGGAAAGCACCTAGTACAAACCACTGCATCAAACTTTAAAACAAATACGGACACACACACACGAGCGCACACTCATACTACTACTACTACTAGCAGCATGACTGCCCAGAGGGGCAAGTGTCACCCCTATGGAAAGGGGACCAGAAAACGGGACACGGATCACAAGCAGGACCGCGAATGTCTGGCTAGGTCCTGCTGCCGGCGGAAATTGCGTTTACAACGTGGGCAGCTGAGGGGCAGAGCTGCTCTCTCAGCAGCAGATGGTCTCGCACCACGATTGCAGTTGTGACGCTTGAACCCGGCCGCAGAACGGAAGCATCGCTGACATGTTGGGCAGTGCTGCTGGCAACAAGCTGAAAGTGGCACAGACAGACTGACTGTTGGTGTAGGAGAACTCGTGACAGGCTGGCATCGATGAACAGAGTAGCCACCCTTGCTGCGGAACCACCTCTGGCAGTTCTGGCATTGCACTGATCCACGCTGGAGCTGGATGGGAAGCCGTCTCTGAGTGGTGCACTTGTGCCGCGTTCTATCTGAGACCCGTGAGAAGTTCCGGTCACACACTGCGCAATGCACAGACTTGGGCATGGTGGAGCTCGACTGAGGGGCAACCCGTACTTCCCTCCACTGTTGGCGGTCCTGAGCAAGGATGAACCACTGAGATGGCTGTTGCAGTGCAACCTTGAGGTCGGTCATCACCGTGTCTTTCCACCGTCGCCGGGGACCACAAAACGGCCGAGGCACAGGTAGCCACCCAAAGAGGAGTTGGAGGGGGGTGCGATCCTCATCCATACGCGCAACGTGCCCAGTCCATTCCAGACGCCGATTGCGGAGGCGTGTAGACATCAGTACTGGGTCTCCCCAACGGTTCCGCAGGTCTGTGGATGACAGCCGCTCGGACCACTGACGAGGCTTGGTGATGCTGAGGACAGTCCGGATGCATTGATGGTGGAATTTATCCAAACTTCTGATATCCCGTTGGAGTGGGGTCCAACACTCTCCGCCATACAGTAATATTGAGGAAACGCAGGCCATGTACAGGTGGCGTTTACTAGAGAGGGACAGAGATCTGTCAGTGAATACCTTCTGGAGGGCTCCGAAGGCCTTTGAGGCTTCGGCAATACGGCGCTTGATGTCGGATGAAGAACGACTGTCAGGGGTCACTATGGATCCTAGGTAGGTGAACTTCGGCACGGCTTCGATAGTGCCAAGGGGGAGAACGATGTCAGCCGAGTCTTCAGCAGAGACCCCATGGCCCGCCGTCATGATCTTCGTCTTAGCATGCTCACAGTTAGTCCAAATTCTCGGCAACACTACAGAAGAGCTCCACACCAAACTCAGCATCACTACGGCATTCAGACACGAGAACGGCATCATCAGCATACTCCAGGTCACTAACAGACAGTGACTCGCCAGCCCTGCGCGATGATGAGCGGGGGTAGAGTTGGCCATCGATGGAAAACTGGATGCTGACAGAGTGACTACGACCTGCATCCTTTAGCCGGGCACGCCATGTCTCAACAACCGCCCCGAAGTACAGGTTAAAGAGAACGGGTGCCATGACACATCCTTGTCGGAGACCATTAACCACACACTCATACACACACGCACACGAATACTCATATACGTAGCAGTGTTCTGACGTACCTTGCTCGCGTGCTGTTGTTGGGCCGACTGCCGTGCGCCACACGCTGGTCCCAGATGAGTAAGCTGCCAGCACGCATGGGTACTCTCTGGGGCTGTTTGTACATGGGATCATGGCCATGCACAGGTATAAAGTTCTACAAAGAGAACACAGAGATCACAGGTAACAACCAACCATTTGAATGGTAAAGTAGTCGTTGTTGATGAAATCCAGCCAAATAAAACATCAGTACCCCGCAGCAGTACACAGACAACTGTCCCTGTGGGCAACAACTGTATGGTCCTGACCCTAGTTGAGCATGATACGGCTGGATTTTGCTGGACATGGCAGTAGTTTTAAAAAGCAGCACAGTCCTGGAGAAGGTTGCAGGAGAAAACAAGTAGCTGAAGAGAGAGTTTTTTTTTGCAGATTTAGATTTATATTGCTCCAGGAATGGTCAAGGGTGAACAAGGGTCTTGTCAACTGCACAAAGGTGTTGTTTGTTGCTCGGACCGCGGTCACGTTCTCAGTACTGAATATCACACCAGCCTTGTCGCGCTATACATTGTGCCGTGGTGGTCACAGGTGAACGCGTTGGAGTGTCGCTTCTCAACAGAGCCTACAAAACAAAGTCATGGCGAGTGTGCCGTTATCACCGTTTGCATGAAGCCTCAGATGTCCAGGAATGATTCTTAGTTTCTTACCTTGCCCTTGGCTCAGCTCCAAGTTTTCCTGTTTCTGTAGTTACGTCATGACCAGTATGGCACTCAGCTGTGGGGTAGCTAAGGATGAACCTAGTAGGGTGCAGAAAAAAAACACATATACATCATACATTAAAAATCCGGTTTGCATCAGCTGTGGATTTTTCAACTCCCATCCTCCCAGTCCCTGCAGAGAAACGAACGGAACTTTGGTATAATTAGTCTGATGTGATATTGAGTCGCGTGATATTGCAAGATAACACACAAAATGTAACACATTGAGTGCCAGATTAGATAACATTCATATCACTTATGTAACATGGACAAATGTGGGCACAAGTTATGCGATTGAGTCTACCAACTAAGCCAGATTTTGAAGAGTCGGACGTGCACAATCCAGCACAAAACTGACAAGGAGCACGGAGACATTCCACGGCATGAAAGTGCCTTGTGCCCACATTTTTCCATGTTACAATTTTTTCTTGGCTCACCGTCTGAGTTCCAATCTCTTATGTGTTGAGTTATAGTATTCTTGAATTGTGTTCAGTTTATCATCATTATA